CCGGCAGGGGCCCCCACGACGCGGCCAGGCCAGACGGCCGGCAGGCGCGGCCCGGGGCCTGGGCTCTGGGCGGGCTCCCTCGCCTGTGGGTCCCCTGCTGGGTCCCGGGCTCACCTGATTGTGGGCGTTGAGCTCTTGGTTCTCACGCTGGCACTGCCGCAGGGCCTGCCGCTCGGCCTTCAGCCCTGGGCCAGGTGGGCGTTCTCCAGGCACTTCTGCGAGTACTGCTCCGACAGCACCTCCAGCTCCCGCTGCACCGACTGCAGCTCCTCCCTGTGGGGACGGCCGCTCAGTCCGCGCTCAAGACCGGCCTCTGGGGCCGGGGCCTCCTGGCACAGAGGGAGGCCTGGACAGCAGACAGGGCCGAGGACGGAAGGCACGAGGCGCATGCTGCCATCCTGCCTGACTGTGGCCGTCAGAGCTAGGAGCACCTGACACGTGTCCAAGGCCCCTCGACACCTGACGGATGACAGCCGGGACAGAGTGCGGTTACCGGGGCAGTGCAACGTCCCGTTTCAGACAGGAGTCAGGCCTGGTTCACTCTCAGCACACCGACCTCCACGGTCCCCTGCATCTCACAGCCAAGGCCAGGCTCCAAGCAAGAGGCGGGAACCACCTGTCTATGCAGCGCTCGGCCACCCAGAGGGCCCTTTATCCTGCTGGTGGGGCCAGGGCTGAGGGGATGACCCCCAAGCCCCAGCACTCCTGTCCCCAGCCTGGCCAAGGTGGAGGGACCCCTCCACAGGTGCTGCCTGGCTGCCATGGCCCAGCCCGAGGCCGCCGCTCTGTCAAAACACCAACAGGGCTGAAGCACCGTGCGCAGCTTAGTGGCCACCCCAAGGGCCCTGGGCGGGCGGGGCGTGCTGCGCGGAACCACTGGTAGCACAGGCATGGTGTGTGCTCTGCTTCAGGCAGTAGACACGGCGGCAAGACCCCTCTGGGTGCCTGCCTCTGTCTCTCTCTCGTGGGAGAAGTGAATAAGCACAACGGAGCTGGGCTCCCACGAGCTACCGTGACAGTGCCACCGTGGGGGCTCCAGGCGGCCTCACGCCAGCCCCGAACAGTGGCTGTGGAGTCGGGTGGGCTGCGCCTTCCTCACTGGGTTTTCCGAGCAGTCTAACAGGTACACGCAGCCCTCCCCTGGGGACGAAGGTGGTCTGGGCGTGCTCAGCACTCGCGGCCTCCCTCGCACACAGGACAGGCCTGATAGCCCTGTCCCCCAGCCCCGCCAGTACTCACAGGTACTGCCGCCTCAGAGCCTCGACGTCCGAGTTGACGCTGCTGATCTGGGACCGCTGGCTCTTCTCCAGCTCACGCTCCATCTCCTCTCGGTGGGCGTTCTTCATGGCTTCGATGGCTACCGGCAAGGGCGTGGCCGTCAGCCTGGCTGCCCTCGCCTGCCCGTCACGGGGCAGGAGCGACAGCACACGACACCTGCCTGCTGTGGCTAACTTTTTTCTACAGGCTGGCCTCTCACAAACCAGCTCTCTGGGGAAACGCAGGCCAGAACTGCCAGGGACCTCGCTCGCGGGGCAGGTCCATTTCCTCCTTTTTCAGGGCAGTGTGCCCCCAAGAGACAGAGACAGGAGAGAGAGGTATCCTCGACAGCGTCACCACATGTGGCCCCTCCCCGTGTCCTCCAGCTGGCCAGGGTCTTGGGCTCGCACACTCGGCGTGTTTTCAGCCCAAGCTGAGGGTCCGAACCTGTGATCATGCACGTGGCTTCCCGCACTGCGGTCAGTGTGCTACGGGCTGTGCCACAGGGGTTGGGCTGCGGGTATGTTTCTCCCTCTTTGGAGTGTTGGGATAAAATCAAAGTGATCGAATACACATCGGCATTAAATCCGAGCAGGGAGCATGAGATCGTGAGCCGCAAGTGCCGGGCCGGCGTGCCTTCCTGAGGCCGAGCGCCGAGCCCTGGCAAGCGGCGGTTCAGGACTGGCATGCGGGGCAGGGCGGGGGCGGACGGGCCGTGCTTGTGCTACAGCAGCACCAAGCTCTGACCTCACGGGCGCCTGCACCGGAGGTGCCTCATGCAACAGGGGTCTGAGGGGGAAAGCTAGGGAGCCCACCCCAGTCCCCGGCCGTGCTGCGGTCAGAGCTGGCCCACTGGGTCTGGCGTGGACGCTCTCAAGCGCTCCTGCCGCCAAGAGGGCAGTCAGAGAATCCCCTCTAGGGCCAGGTGGTGGCGCCGTGGGAGGGGACCTGAGCTGGCCAAGGCTGGGCATGGGCCACAGTGCAAAGACCCTGTCGGCAGTGCCCGTCTGTCGCTCTCCTTCCGTCTCTCTCCATGTCACAGAAGGGCCAGCAGGTGGTGTGCTCATTTTGTCACTGGGTTCCCACATGGGTGATTATGGTTCGGACCCTGGATCTATCTGGCAGCATGAAATCACACTGGGATGGGACCAGCAGATTGCATAATGCCTATGTCACTGGACTCCCATTTAGCCGACCGCGGTTCAAGTCCTGGACCCGGTGGCTTAAACTCACGCTGGGCGCGTGTGCACCCCAAGATCCTGAGAGGAGAATGGAGAAGGGATTGCGGCGTGGCCATCCCCCCTGGGGGGTGATTTCTCACTTTCCCTTTGCCTCTCTCTGGCAAATGCATGTGCCCTATGGCCAATACCTAAATAAATTAAAAAAAAAAAAAAACCACCCAGCCAGACACCCCTGAGCTCTCCTACAGGGAAGCTGAGCTCCCGGCCAGAGGGGGCGTGCAGGCACTGCCGCCCAAGCCTGCCCACCTGAGATGGTGGCCGCGGTCTCCTCAGCCAGGAGCCGGTCCTTCTCCTCCCGGAGCTTCTCCAGCTCCCGCTGGTGCTGCCTCTGCAGGTCTTCGATCTTCTTCTGGTGCGTCTCCTCCATCGCTGCAAACCCTCGCTCGCAGGTGGCCTGCAAGGCGTAAGAGGCGCTGCGTCGGCTCCCCCAGCCGAGGCGGGGTCCTGCCCAGTGGCTGCGCCAGCCACCCTGCCCCTGGCTCAGCAGCACTGGCCCTCACTGAGCATGCCTGCCACAGCCTGAGGGGGCGGGGGCGGGGCGCTGCCGAGGGTCACCACCGCCCCGGCGTTCTCACGCCATCAGGGCATCTGGAAGGGGGTACTTGGAAGCATTTGAACTCTCCCCGGTGCCTTAAGGACTGGAAGGGTCCACTCAGTCTCCGGGTGACCCCCGGCACTGGGTTGACTCAGTGTCGCACCGTCTTAATGGGGACGCTCATTAAATCGTCCAGGGGCTTCAATGTGTTTTCCCCTCCTTCCTGGGCTAGCTGGCCCTTCCCAACCTCACCGCAGAGAGTGGACCCCTAGGCTCTGCTGCAGACATGGGGATCGAGGCCGTCTCTGCTGATGACAACATGCACAAACACCCAGATACATGGCAGATGGGGTGGTCAGGTGTGAAGACAGATACCAGTGACAGCCCAGAGATGAAGATCAACCCCAGCTGGCCAGCCATGAACTCCCCCCTTCAAATCTAAAAAAAGCCCGACCCCCACTTCTGGGACAACGCGGCTCTCCACATCTGGCCCCTTCCCTTGGGGAGGTGAGTAAACCCTGCCCTGCCCTCTTCCCTCTGGGACAACGCGGCTCTCCACATCTGGCCCCTCCGACCTCTGGAGGTGAGTAAACCCTGCCCTCCTCCTCCCTCTGCATTTGCGCATTCTTTCACAGCCCTCGGCCAAGGCAGAGGCGGCCCTGACAGTGCGGAGGCCTCGCGGCCTCCAGCTTCTCCTGCCACGGTCCTGGCCCCGGGCCTGGCAAGCAGGGCTGCTGTGGGAGGAAGAGGCTGCAGTGAGAGGTAAATCAGCCCATCTGGGGCCTTCGTGGCACTGTCTCAGGGCAGGAAGGAGGGGGGACGGGACACAGGGGCTGGCTGGGTCTGCAGGGGCACAGTTAGCTGCCCTCAGCACCTCCCATAGTGACAATGTCAGCAGGGAGGAGGGCCGCCCTGTGACAGGTGCCCACACCAGCTGGGGACCCTGCTTAACCCCTGTGGGCTAGGGGTGCACAGAGCCCATTTCTTTCTTTCTTTCTTTTCTTTTTTTTTTTTAGAGGATTTTGCTATAGGGCGCGTGCGCTCGCCAGACAGAGAGACAGAGAGACAGAAAGCGAGAAATCACCCCCCAGGGGGGATGGTCACGCCGCAATCTCTTCTCCTCCACTCTCCTCTCGGGATCTTGGGCACGCACGCACACGCGCCCAGCGTGAGTTTTAAGCCACTGGGTCCAGGACGCAAGCCGCGGTCGACTACGTGGGAGTCCAGCGACATAGCCATTACGCTAACTGCTGGTCCCAGCAGAGCCTATTTCTGAGAGCTGATGGCCTGGCCCTGACACGAGCAGGTGGTCATTCACCTGCAGGGACCACCTGCAGGTGTCCACTGAGGGGGTTGCTGCAGGCTGCACAGAGCCTGTACGCCTGTACTCATCAGAGGCAGAGACAGTGGGAGGGAAGGAGGAATCACCTCCGGGGGGATGGCCACACCACAATCCCTTCTCCTCCAGTCCCCCTTGGGATTTTGGACACACACACACACACACACACACACACACACACACAGATTTTCAAGCCACTGGATGTGGGATTCAAACCATAGCCAGCCATGTGTGAGTCCAGTCCCTTAGTCATTATACTACCTGCTGGGCCGACTCTTTCTTACAGAGTAGAGGGGCTGTGGTGATCGGTGCCTCTCCAAACCTTAACAAGACACATAGTAGGGCTGCTTTCCAAGCTTGTCTGTCACTGAGATACCCACGAGGACAAGATGTGTCCAAGAAGAGAGGACACAGGTCAGGCGGGGAGTCGGGACCTGGTTGCCAGAGGGGCTCCTGCCAATGAGGCAGACGCGCTCCAGCCAGGGGCCGAGAGGCACACAGCTCGCTGCTCTGAGCATGGCCTTCCCTTGCAGGATGGCTACAGGGTAGGATCAGGCCTTTTACTGTTTTTTATTTTTGCTTTTTCTTTTGAAGAGGTGCGCTCACCAGAAAGACAGAGACAGAGAGACAGAAAGCGAGAAGTCACCCCCCAGGGGGATGGCCATGCCGCAATCCCTTCTCCTCCATTCTCCTCTCGGGATCTTGGGCACGCACGCACACATGCCCGGTGTGAGTTTAAGTCACCGGGTCCGGGACTCAAACCACGGTCGACTAGATGGGAGTCCAGCGATGTAGCCATTACATCAACTGCTGGTCTCAATTTTGCTTTTTCCTTAAAAAAAAAAAAAAATTGAGGTTTTTGCCTTAAGAGTGAAACAGACAATGACAGGGAAAGTGAGAAATCACCCCTCAGGGGGTGGCCATGTCGCAAACCCTTCTCCTCTTGGGATTCTGGGTACATATGGACACGTGCCCGGTTTGCGTTTCGAGCCACCGGGTCCGGGACTCAAACTGCGGTCGGCCATGTGGGAGTTCAGCGACATAAGCACTAAACCATTTGCTCACCCCCTCACTGGGTTTTTAAACAGGGAGAACGGGGCTGTGTTACACCCAGTACCCTCTGCTTCACACACACGCACAGCCTAGGTCCCCCCATCTACCGTTGGGGAGCGCAGCGCTCCGACCACGCCTGTCACTGCGGACAGGCTGGTGGCGTCCTGTTGGCACACTCACAGAGTCTCGTGTCTGGGATTAGGGAGGCTCAGCCCGGCCAACCTCTGCACACGGATGCGAGGAAGGATGGCAAGACATCAGTCCTTGTGCTTGGCCGTCATCACCCCAGACCCACGGCAATCGAGGGCCTGAGGGTTGCTCAGAATTTCTGAACTTGTGGTCACTGTCTGGACTTCATGCCACACACCTGCTCAAGGGCACAGGCCCGAACTCCTGTCTGCCACGATGGCTATGCCTCGCCTGATGGGAAGCCGTCTCCCTCCCTTCTCAAGACCACGCGTAAACCTTGGAGCTCTGCCTCCTGGCCCAGGTCTGCAGAGTCCTGGCCCTCCGTGCCCACCAGGGGTGCTCGTTCGCTCCACCCCACGCGCGTCCACCATCAACCACACTGGCTTCTCAGTCACCTGCTGAGCCGTCGGTCTTACTCTGACCATCTAAGTGCTTTGGAGCAAACAAAGGAAGGGTGGAAACTCTTCTATCAGAAGTGCGGCCGCTTCCTCAGAGAACACACACGTTACACAGGGATTAATCTGCAGGAGCCGAGGGGTGCAGGTGAGGATCATGGAGCACACAAGGCTGACTGCAGTGTACTTCTAGACGTGGCGGCTTGAAAATCCTGCCGGGTGCATGTGTGTGCGTGCCCAAAATCCCGAGTGGAGATTAGAGGAGAAGGGATTGCGGCACGGCCATCCTCCTGGGGGGTGATTTCTCACTTTCTCTCTCTCCAGCGAGCTTACACACACTCTAGCAAATTTTTAAAAAAGATTAATCTGTAAACAAACTTCAGTTTTCTTTTCTTCTTTGAAAGAGATTTTTGCTAGGGTGTGCACTTACCAGAGACAGAGAAACAGAAAGCAAAAAATCACTCCCTGGGGGGGATGGCCACACCACAATCCCTCTCCATTCTCCTCTTAGGATTTTGGGCACGCACGCACACAGTGGCATGAGTTTTAAGTAGCCAGGTCTGGGGCTCGAACCATGGTTAACTATATGGGAGTGCAGTGATGTAACTGCTACGCCATCTGCTTGGTCCCCAAGCTTTAACTTTTAAGTGTATCATCTGCAGAATCTAACTGGGGTCCCAAGTGAGTCCAATGTGGAGCTGTCGGGGGGACCAGCCTACAGGGGCCAGAGGGCTGCCAGGCCCTGGCCCAGCCTCCCCATCCCGGGCAGATCCTGCGTGAAGTCTCAGCCATCAGCTACACTCTCCCAGAGTGTCACCTGGCCTCTGGGGTGATGAGCACCCTGTGCGGGCACTCACCCTTAGGGTGGGGGACATGGCAGCTCAGAGCAGACCACCCCCCAGGCTCTATCACACCTGGGCCACCTATGTCTGAGGAGCCTCCCTGAGGCTCATGCTCCGGCTGGATTCCCACATAAGGCCGCTCACCGCTTCGGTTCCTTGCCACCTGGTGGGACACGTCACCAGGGTCAGGCCTCACCTGTACTCACAGCCTGACACGGGGCTAGAACCCCCACAGGGAAGCTCCCACGGAGGCGGATGGGAAGCGCCCAGGCAGTCCGCACCTTACTGAGAAGGCAGGCCGGGCCACGCCACTCGTGGCTGGCAGGGCCGTCACACAGGCACATCGGGCATGGCCCTTCACGAGCACTCTGACTGAGCAGAGCTGTCAGGAAAGCGGCTTCTGGGGCGCACGGCACAGCCAGGCAGGAGCAGGGAGAAGCTGCGGCCTGGGTGCACTCTCAGAGCCACAGGCATGAGGTGACAGGGAGCAAGGGAGGCAGCCCCGTGACAGCAGAGCCCTGAGGGACGAGCACGGCGGGGCCCAGCTCTGCCCCAGCCAAGAGCCCAGCTGTTCCCCTCGCCCAGCCCCCAGGGCCTGGTGGTGCCTCGTGGGGAGGGTGAGCTGGGGTGGCGTGGCTGGGGTGCGGGGCAGCTCCTGGGGAAAGCCACCCTCAGTTAAAGAGCCTGACTCGGGGCCCACACAGTGCCACCCCTCATGGAGCGCTGGGACTGCAGGAGAGGGCCCCGCACTACCGTGCGAGTGTTCCCATCTGCTGGGAACACCAGGCTGCCCTCCAGGGCCTTGGGTCGGGATCTGCATGGCTCAGGCAGCTGCTCGGGGCAGAGGCAGAGGCCACCGCAGATGGCAGAGGGGTGACAGGGAGACTGCTTCTCTCCCACCAGGGACACCGCCTGCCTTCCCGGTGGCAGTGCTGAGCGGAGGCCATGGCCTCGGACCCCTGTGGCCAGCAGCGAGAGCTGGCTCCCGGTCCCACTCTGGGAGACCCCGTCCCCATAGCCTGCAGACGCGGCTGCTTGCCGGGTGAGGGTGGCGCTCAGACCTTGAGGCTCTCAAAGTCCCTCCGGTACTTCTCGCGCAGTGTGGCCGTGTCGCCCTCCAGGTCCTTGTGCCCCAGCTCCTCGCGCATGACGTCCATCTGGGCCTCCAGCTCCTGGATGCGCTCCCGCAGCCCCGTCATGGCATCGGCCTCCCCCATGGCATCCCCAGGCTGCAGGGCCTGCCAAGGCAGGGCCTCGGGGTGCGGCCTCTGGCAGCGGCTGAGCGCATCCTGCAGGCGGTGCAGGTTGTGCGAGTAGTGCTCCTGCAGCGCCCGCAGCTCCTCCCGGTGGACGCTCTGCAGCTCCCTGACCTTGAGCTGGAACGTGTCCTCCAGGGCCTGCATCTGCTCCGCGCGGCCCCACTCCAGGACCTGCCCTTCTCGGGCCTGGGCGTCTGGCTGGTTTGGGGCAGGACAGCTGCTATCAGTCCCGCTCTGCGGCTCTACCCACCTCCCCTGCAGGGCGCACGGGCTCTGGCCCTGAGCGTCTCCTGTGTCTGGCCTCTGCTGGTGGCCCAGCTGGGCGACCTTGGCCTTGAGCTCTGCGTTCTCCCTCTCTATGATGGCAATGACTTCCAGGTATTCGCTCTTCTGCTTGTGGAGAAGCTCCTCGTACTCCCCCTGCAGCGCCCCCACCGCCTGTGCCTGCTCCCCACAGGAGGGCCCCCGGCCATCTCTGTAGAACCTGAGCTCCTTCTCATACTCCAGCCGAATCTTGCAGGCTGCATAGCACACCTGCGCCTGCAGGATGGCGTCCTGGACCAGCAGTGAGGAGTACTGGCCAAGACCTCCCAGACAAGCACTGTACGACAGACCCCGGGACGCCCGCAGGAGCTCCCCACAGTCTCGCAGAGCTCCCGCAGGCGGCAGGGATGGCAGTGTGGCCGCGATCTCCTCTAGAACGTGGGCCTTCTCCTTAAGCTGCTGTGCCAGCTCCTCCTGAAGGGCAACCAGGGCCCCGGGGCTCTGGTCTGACAGGTGGCAGGACTCGCGGGTGCCCCACGCGCCCTGGCTCAGCACGTCTCCTAATGGGTTCAGGTCACAGGACATCTGTCCGCTGCCCCCCCCACCTGCTGGAAGGCTCAGGGCTTCTGAGACCTGCTGCATCACCCTCTCGAAGTCGGGGGTCTGGTAGGCGCCCAGGATCTGCCCCAGCATGCACTTGTGCTGCTGTAAGGCCGTCTGTGTCCCCTGCAGGGTCTCCTGGATGCTGTGCAACCGCCGGTGGAATGACTCCCTCAGTGCCTGGACAGCCCAGCTGAGTTCTGCCCTGACCCAGGTGGCGTCGGCCAGGCCCTGGGGGACGCTCGGCTGCCCGCTGCCATGGGCTGTCCCGGCTGCCTCCTCTCCCGCTGCCC